TCCCACGGTATCGAAAGGCCGTATTCAATACTAAATCTGCACGTTTCTTACGTCATAGATAAAACATACTCCCATGATAACGACATGGTTTCTGAGAAACTGCAAACAGACTGAGTTAGCAGTTCATACAGTATTGGCACTTTCCCGTTCTTTTGTTTTTTTTTTCATAACGGGTATGATTTTAAATTATATTTTATTTATTGTACATTAAATTTTACGACAATTATTCCTCAACATAAAAAATGTCCTTTGAAAATATTTAAGATTTCTTGATGCCAACTAATCTCAAATCTGTGACAACGTTTCTAATAGCATACTCTAATAGTAGAATGTACGTAATCTAAAATATGTCGAATAATAGATTACATTACTTGTCATTTTTGAAAGGACGATACACGTTAAAAACTTCCTAAATATCTTATTGAGGATGACCCGACTTTTCTCACCTCTGGTGTCTTAGGACAACTAATAGAACTTATCCATTATTGGTTCTGGAAATGTGTAGTCGGTTTAAACCCTCCACTTGATGACACTGACACAACCTTATTTGCGTTTTTCCAGCTTTACTTATTTTATAACTATTAATTGCAAAATCTATGATTACCGTTTAGAACTATTTATTTCAAAATCTATGATTACCGTTTAGAACTATTTATTGCAAAATCTATGATTACCGTGTTTTCAGTGCCGCTGGTTGTTGTGGCCTTATCGCCAGCCTTTCCACCGTTTTCGGTTGTTGTGGCCTTATCGTCAGTCTTTCCACTGTTTTCGGTTGTTGTGACCTCAGCCTTTCCATTATTTTCCGTCCCAGCAGAATTTCCGACTGGTCCCTCAGCTGCGTCTGGTCCCTCAGCTGCGACTGTTCCCATCCAGTAGATGACTAATGCAATTGCCAGGTAGCTCTTCATTATGGTTTGTCTGGAAAATGTGCGGCGTTGAATTAAAAAATAGTTTATTGCGTATTAGAAAGTAATTTTGTTTGGTACTGTTGGTAATATGTTGGAATATAATCTATTCAAATCTACTTTTTGTCGAAAGAATATTAAAATAGCCATTGGTCTATGACTTTTTTCGGATGTTGTAATTATTGTGACAATTGGTGTAAATGGAACTAAATCTTTAAGGATTGATGCACGTTTTGGTATGGTGGGGTTCTCTCGTAAAAGAATAAATACAGAGTAGTCTAAAGAAACATGTATAATTTTTTTTACAGTATTATACACCAACAAAACGCAAACGCGGGTAACTGCAAACGCTTATACAACTGTTGATTTGAAATTCCTATGTAATTCTTATTGAGAATAAACTGTTGTAGTTTGCTTGCTTAGGGATATAATTTGATTAAATTTGTTTATTTCATACATAGTTACTATTAAGATTAGTTTTCAATTAAAAAAACGCATTCTTTATTATCTTCCCTGTAGCAGCAAACCTAATTACACATTCAGATTAATGTTTATTTATTTATTTTACTTTCATTCCAGATACAAGCAATCAATATCAATACAAACAATAAATAAATAAATCAATAAAAGGAAATACAGTAAAACACATTTTGAGGGTAAAACACAACAGAGCGAGCAAAACTCTATAAGTTGACATACACATTGATTAATAATTATAATAAAAATTCTAAATATTTCAATCCATCTAATGCATACATCTTTAGTTAAATATGAGATTGATGAAGTGGTATTTTTTATAATATTTGTGGCTGTTACAACTTAAGTGTTATTTTTTAAATTAAAGGTGATTGCTATACATGAAATTCCCGATTTGTATCACCATGGGTGTTCTGAAATATTACAGTAAGGCAAAGCACTATATCACTACTAGAATGATCACTTTGGCAAAGTAAAATATAAAAATAAATGATACGACTACTTTTGTAGAATGTTCGTAGGATTATGTTTTTGTTAGTATAGCTTGTGTGCTACTACCATTTTACAATATAAGCTATGTGAACATATTTATACTTCAAAATATACAAAAAGGATACCGTCATACATCTTATCTAAGAAATATTTTAACTAAGCAAATTGGTGTTTTCTAAAATCCTACCTGTTAGTAACGAATGATGTGTACGGAGCAGAATTTTACGCTGTATATATATTAGGTATATGACTCATGACAGCTGGTAAGCTACCACCTGTTATGCGTCATAAACCTAATTGCTGTGTTTTTTAACAAATTCCTAACATCAGGTAACATTAAATATGGCCGATTGGTGAGCTTAGTCATAGATAGTTGTAACTCGAACAATTTCAAAAAAAGTTTCACGGCAATAATTTTTCAATTTCACAAAAATGTTTTCTTGTTTCAGAAAATAAAAGTTTTCTCGTCACAAATATCTGCATCCGCATCTGTGTCCAGCTTCTACGAATATAATGATAAAAGATATCGGTCTCCAATCAACCGGCTATAGCGTTCTTTGAAACCTGTTAAGTAGTAAATAAAATGATTTTGTTATGGTGTATAGGTTTAGATTATTGCCTTTAAGCGTTTTTCATTTTTCACGATGTTGCAGTGTTTAATAACATTGTTACGGTTTTTATGGGTCGTCGTCTAGTTGTATCGGTTTCTAGTTGTACCTGCTGCATTTTGGCGGCAGGTGTCAAGTTGAAGCTCGTCCAAGATCTGAATGAACTTGACAGGGATTATAATAGACTACAGTTAGATACAACAATTGTGTATATTTATAGGCATGGTCTGTGGATGCGGTTCTCCCTGGTGTGGATTAACGTCCGCACTAGTGAGTGCCTCGTCTATCTGCAGTACTTGCCTGATGATTAGACCAATTCGTAAATTACGAGGAAAAAATTCCACCATAACTACTGTAGTTCCCTTAGTTGCCATTGGCTGTCTTAGTCAGTAACAAGACTACAAGATCGCGCCCCTCATCCTCCATTCGTACTTCGCTAAAAAGGTGTTGCGAAGTTTGCGTACAGCAAAATTTGCGCACAGTTGGAATTTAGCGTAGACTGCGTAAACTCGCCAGGTTCATGTTTGACGAGGGCGAGACAAGGCCTGACCTTTGAGGCAGTGGAATTTGACAGGCGAAGTTTGCGTGGGAACGGGACGATTGGCACACATTGTTGGACCTTCTGTCCATAGCGGTATTGGCACAATCATTTTAGCGGAATAAGTAGGGTCAACTTGCCTGCTTGGAAAAGGCACGATTGGTACAACCACTCGACCAGATAGACGCCATCGAACGAAGGAAAACGGGAATTTTAAAATTCCCTGTCAACTCTGCACGACAGTCCTTTGCCGGTTATATCACGTATTTTCAAAGGTTAGGTTGGGTTAGGTTAGGTTAGATTGGGTTAGGTCAGGTTAGGTTAGGTTAGGTTATTATAGGTTATGATAGGTTAGGTTAGGTTAGGTTAGTATAGGTTTATTTGGATGCAGCTAGCCCAGTAACCGTAGCTGCAGATTTGTCACGCAACTTAAACCTTGCTTACTTCAATAAGCACCACAGCAGGGAATTTGTGGGAAGAAAAATTTTCCCGCATTCTGGCTACCTGGCTGCTACTATAGTGCGTTCAAACAGCCGTGGCACCTGAGGGATTAGGAGGCCCCAAGGGTTTTCATGGGGTCTTCTAATCCGTCAGGTGCCACGGCTGTTTGAATGGAGTATACCTGACCGTGTGGTTGTGCCAATCGTGCCTTTCCGAACCTCACAGGTTAACCCTTCTTTATCCCCTCTATCCAATCTGTTTGAGTACACCACCAAGAACAAGTCAAGTCTGGAAATGTAGAAAGCGGCCTTTCGGCCTTGTCGGTTTTATTCCTATTTACAGTTTTTCTTATGCACATACTTAGCGGCTACTGTTTCAATCAAAGTTATTAGTAGGTCCCTGTTTATGTCCCCCCCCCTCTTGCAGAAACGGTACAAGTGACAATAATAATAAAGTTTCTAATAAGTGTAGACTACTTTTATTTCTTCATGTTTTATCATAACAGCGTGGTTGGCCCCATTCTTTTTACCGATGATTCCAACTCCCCTCCCGCCCCAAAGGGGGTCTAAATTTAAAATCTTGTCTCCTCTCTCTTACTTCAAGTAAGAGTAAGTTTTCGGGAAAATGTTTTTATTTTCTTGTACTAGGCTATATCATAATTTATGCATTTTTATTTGCCGCCTACAGAGAGAGAGAGTAGGGGTTTTCAATTCAACCTAGTGGGGTCAGCACAGCACAATGCCCATTGGTGATTGGTGAACTTGGCTGAAGGATATTTTAACATACGAAGATAGTGTCAAGTGTTGTGCCTTCGTCTTGAGGACATTCTACCGTTTTACCTACCATCGCAACTCGACCCGGCGGCCCTTCCTTGTCGCTCACTACGTCCTTCGACATAACTCCAAAGTGTAATATATAAGGCTATATTACATTGCCAGAAGATTATTGAGTTCGTGTGTGTGGTTGGCTGCACTGCTGAGTGACGTCACCGACAAGGAACGATGGCACGAAGCGGAGTGGAACGGCAGTCGGAGTTAACATGCTAATTAGTAAGTTGTCCCAAGTATCGGGTTCTCTTTTAACTTATTAATATTGAGTAATACAGTTATTAAATTTGGCGACGAAATTAAATCCGCGTGTGCGTGAAATGTCTAGTATCGGTCGGATATCGGAGTTTAATCCGTACGAAGAAGATATTAGTTCGTATTTGTTACGTTTGAAACACTTTTTCAAGGCCAACGAGGTCAAGGACGTGAAGCAGGTCTCCATCTTGATTACTGTAATAGGCCCTAAAATATTAGCCGTCCTCACCGATCTTATTTCTCCTAAGAAGATTGATGAAGAATCTTACGATAATTTGAGCAAAATCTTGGAAGTCGATGCCAGAAACAATCTGAAAGTATTGCAGAGTTCGTAGTGGCAGTGAAGCATTTGGCTTCGACGTGTGATTTTGGAACATTCTTATCGGACGCACTGAGAGACAAGTTAGTTTCGGGAATTAAAAATGAAGCAATTCGTCAAAAATTACTTTCCGAAGAAATGGATTTGAAGATAACGTTGGCTCTTGCACTCAGGCTTGAACAGGCCGAGAAACAAACAGGTCTATTCTCGAATACAAGTGTTCAGGAAATTTCCAGGTTTCAGGTCAAGAAGAATGCACGTGTTTCCAACCGAGGTTCAAATTTTCACAGTGCGGGATCTAAATCAAATTCAAGTGATGTGAAGGGAGATATGTCTCAGATAAATAAGTGTTTTCGTTGTGGCAATCCAGAGCATAGGGCTAATAATTGCCCGTATAGTAATTACAAGTGCCATGGGTGTAAAAAGTTGGGTCACATCAGTAAGGTTTGCAGGTTCAAAAATGAAAATCCAGTGAAAAATTCCATAAAAAGTGGTAAATTTAAAATCCATCAGATGGAAGAGGAAAATAGGCCTAGGCCTAGTGATGGTCCAGATGAAGTGGAGTTTGAAAGTTTGTCTTTGTACAGTATGAATTCTGGTGATAATGTTTCTGCCTTTAAGGTAAGCCTAGAAATAGAGAATGTATCCGTATTAATGGAAATTGATACTGGCTCGGCACTAACTGTGTGCCCTCAAGAATTGTTTAACAAATATTTCCCTCATGTACAATTGAGTACTGTAGATATCAAGTTGCTTACATATTCAGGCAATGAAGTCAATGTTATTGGACAAGCTTTAGTCAAAGTAACTTACATGGACCAGACTTATCAGTTACCTATGATAGTCGTTAAGATTGATCGTACGAACCAGCCTATGCTTCTAGGCCGTAGTTGGCTACAACATATCGCTTTTGACTGGAAATCTATTTTTACTTGTAATTTTAATAGCCTATCAGGCAGTGTTAAATCTAAGGGTGGTGAACCTAACCTAACCCTAGGTAAGGCCGATGAGCCTAAAGTCGTTTCTGGTTTGAAACAAAAGTATGCCTCTGTATTCAAAGGAGGTCCTGGTGAAATTAAGGATGTTGAGGCACGTATTGTGCTAAAAGAGGATGCTGTGCCAAAATTTTGTAAATATCGCCCTGTTCCTTACGCGTTGCGTAAATCAGTAGAAGATGAGATTGATAGGATGATTGCTGAAGGTATTGCTTATCCCGTTACCAGCTCTCAGTGGGCTACTCCTATTGTGGTGATTCAGAAGAAAAGTGGGGTGCGACTCTGCGGGGACTTTAAAGTAACCCTTAATCAAGTGATCCAGTCGGAACACTATCCCTTGCCTCAACCGGAGGACATTTTTGCTACTCTAGCAGGTTGTAGCTGGTTTTCAGTTTTGGACTTGGAGGCAGCGTATCTCCAACTTCCTGTGGCGGAGGAGTCCCAACCACTCTTGACTCTAACTACGCACAAAGGCTTAGTGCGTTTGCGACGTCTGCCGTATGGTTTGTCTTCGGCTCCGGCTCTCTTCCAAGCGGCCATGGACAAAATTATTGGTGGCCTACCTGGGTCAGTGGCTGTTGTAACTCTTTATAACATAATAAAAGATAAATCAGATAAAAAAGTGTATTATTCCATTAACATAGAATAGAAACTAAACATAAACAATAGTAATCAAAAAGAATAAAGATCATATGATCAGCTGGTAATTCAAATGCAGTCTATTAGAAATTATAACAATCTTCCCCACATAAGTTTTGAGCTCACACATAAGCCTCAAGGTAACTTGGCGGTTGTCGAACACGTGTTGACCTACGTAACTGAGGTGACTCAACTTCATCGGGAATCTGGATGTCACATTCAGGATGCTGAGCCTCCACTACCGGTATTTGGCCAGTCGTGGAACGTCGAGGTGATTGATCTTGAATTCTGACTTCATCAGGAAAATGGATGCCACATTCAGGATGTTGAGCCTCCACTACTGGTATTTGACCAGTCGTGGAACGCCGTTGTAGCGTACGACCGACGATGGTTGAACCACTGTTTGGAGAGCGTTGTAATGCTGGTATCCCTGGAATATTGAACCTAACAGTACGCCTTTGAATATCTTCTGACTGTTGGTTAGAGCGTTGTAATGCTGGTATCCCTGGAATATTGAACCTAACAGTACGTCTTTGAATATCTTCTGACTGTTGGTTAGTGGAGCGTCTTTGATTATCTTCTTCCCGTTGATTTGTCGTTTTAGGCAGTACTCTTGTTCTTATGAGTTGATTGATGTGCCTTTTGATTAAGCGTCCAGAGTCAAGCTTTACCATGTAATGTCTATAGCCCAGTTTGGATTGGATGGTTCCAAATTCCCAGATTTCGGCATTTCCAGAGTGAAGGCGAACTTGGGCTCTATCTCCTACTCTCATCGATCTTACATGTTTTGTCTGCCTAACTTCTTTTTCTTTATTTATCTTCTTTGGAATAGGAAATATGGCATCCAGCTCTATTCTTAATCTTCTGTGCAAATAAAGTTCTGCTGGGCTTTTCCCACATGCAAGTGGTGTGGCTCTGTAGCGTAGAAGCATTTTCCTGACCTTTTCTGGCATGGTGCCCTTTTCACTTGCCATTGATTTTAAACGTTTCTTCACAGTTTGAACATTTCTTTCGGCTAATCCATTTGTAGCTGGATGGCCTGGGGCAATAAATTTTTGGGTAATACCATGATCAATACAGAAGGCTTTGAATACATCACTTGTGAAAATTGATGCATTATCGGTGACCAATGAATTGGGGTAGCCATGGAATGAAAATATTTCTTGAAGTGTGTGTATTGTTGTTTCAGTTGTAGGAGAATGTCTCATGACTCGGACCTCTGCCCATTTTGACTTGGCATCAATGGCAACTAGAAAATGATGACCCTCGAAAGGACCTGCATAGTCTATATGTAGACGTTCCCAATTGGAGTGAGGCTGATCCCACGGGTGTACTATCACCTTCGGGGGGTTGTTACGGAGCTTAGCACAGATTTCACAAGATCTAACTAGGTCTTCTATGTCATGGTTCATCCCTTCCCAGTACACATACCGCCTTGCAAGTTGTTTCATTTTTGTTATACCGATATGTGTTGTGTGAAGTTCTCTCAAAATTGAATTTTTAAGGCTCTGTGGAATGACAACTCGATCTTGCCAAAAGAGAATTCCATCAAGAAGGGTGTAGGGTGTGTCTTCGTTGCTTGTTTGTAGAGTTTTCATAAGAGATTTGAGATGAGAATCGTTTAATGTTGCACTTGCAATGGTCTGATTCGTGATAGCAGTTGAAGAAATTTGGAAAAGTGACTCAGCATACAGAAGGTGAACTTCTTCATTTATCTTCATATCCGTTGATCTTGAGTCTTGAGACAAAGGTGCTCGAGATAAACAATCAGCATTTTCATTTTCATCTCCTGATTTGATTTTCAACTTATAATTGAATCCAGATAGAAATGAAGCATATCGAAGTAATCGAGCTGTTGTCATTTTCGGCAAAGAGTGGTCATGACTAAAGATTCTGCTCAAAGGCTTATTATCTGTGACAAGAGTGAACTGGCTTCCATACAAGTAGTTATGAAACTTTCCAACAGAAAATATAATAGCAAGTGCCTCTCGATCTAGTTGATTATAATTTTGTTCTGCAGGTGTTAGTGATCTGGATGTGTAAGCGATAGGGCGTTCATGACCATTTACGATGTGGCTAAGTATTCCCGCAATGCCAACAGGGCTTGCATCGCAAGAAAGTACAACTGGCAATTTTGGATCATAAGGAATCAGGACTCTGTCACTGCAAATCTCTTGCTTGAGCTTTTGGAAGGATGATTCACATTCTGTCGTCCATTGAAAACGGTGTTTCTTCTTGAGCAACTCCCTTAAGGGACAGGACAACGTAGATAGATTTGGAATGAAACGTGAGTAATAAGTAATCTTTCCAAGAAATCTTCTGACCTCATCAGCGTTGTGCGGTCTTGACATTTCCATCACTGCCTTTATCTTCTCGGGAGATTTGCTGATTTTATTTTGCTCAATCAGGTGTCCTAAGTATTCAATCTTTGTTTCAAAAAATGTACATTTCTTTCGATTTAGATGTAAGTCGTATTCTGTTAGTCTTCTTAAACACATTCGAAGGTTGTGAGCACATTCTGCTTGGGTTGCTCCATGGACGACTATGTCATCGAAATAAGCTTTACACTTATTAAGTCCATTGAGGATTTGTGACAAAATTCTGTTGAATTCTGAGGGAGCGGTTTTTATGCCAAAACTGAGACGGTTCATGAGAAAGGTTCCCTTATGTGTTGACATAGTTTGGATTTCACTACTTTCTTTGTCTACTGCTAAATGTAAATACGCTTTATAAAGGTCAAGTTTGCAAAAGTATTTGGAATTTCGGAGACTGTTAATAACATCTTCAACCGTCCTTATAGGAAAATTTGCCGAGACTAACCTCTCGTTTACACCGCACTTGTAATCCACACAAAGTCTCAGTCCACCATCTGGTTTGGGAATGATGACGAGAGGTGATCCCCAGTCACTTGTCGCAATCGGAGTGATGATTCCATCTTTTTCTAAAGATTCCAACTCCTTTTCAACACGTTCTCTAAGTGCATATGGGACATCACGTTCTTTTGTAAATACCGGTTTTGCGTCATCTCTTAAAGTTAATGAAACTTGAATGTTAGGAATACAACCAATTTTTTCCTCAAAAATTGAAGCAAACTCATTCAGAATGTTATTAATATCTTGAAAGTTCTTTCTGTCGCCATCAACTAAATGGACTTTTGGATTAGTTTTCATGTCATGATCGATTTGTTTTAGTTCAATGTCGAAAGCACGGATCAAATCTCTACCTAAAATAGGATCGTGGCCTGATGAAACTACATACACTTCTGCTTTTAAAGATCGTTCTCTATATTGTAATGTAACTTTTGCTTTTCCTTTACATGGCACAATATCATTGGAATAAGCTCGAAAATTTAGATTTGAAGGTTGAAGATCTATTCCCAAATTCAATGCTAAGAACTTATCCTCTGGTAAAATTGTGTACCGTGCGCCAGAATCTACTTCCATCTTCAGTTTCTTGTGGTTTATCGCTACCTCTACTATGTACTTTCCATGTCCAGGTTCAATTTCGTAGAGGTTGATGATTTTCTGATCTTTGGATACTGAACTGATTATGTTGCATGCCCCGTAGGACCAATCAGATTGTGAGTCATTGATCATATCATTGTCAGAGAATCGGTTAACTTGTTTACTTGAAGCATATTTCTTGGACAGGGTATTGATGCAAACTTTTTGAATGTGGCCATTCTTCTTACATGCTTCACAGAATAGTTTTTCACGCCTTATTCGACACTGGTTTGATCGGTGGTTAGATGTTCCACATCTGAAGCAAAGATTGTTGATTCCTAAGGACTCATAATCGATTCTTTGGCTTGATCGATGCTTGTATGATGGCTTTTTCCAGGGAGATGATGTTGATGATGATGATGATGTCCAAGTGGATGGATGATCGTGTCTAGTGGTCTTCTGAATTTTCATTATATCTGGCACTGAAGAACTAGGGATCAGAGGTTTTGAAATGTTTGAAAGTTCCTTGCACTGGATTTGGGCTGCTTCAAGAGCTATAGCTCTCCTGACTATTTCATCAAAGTTCTCTTCCTTTCCTTGTAAAAGTTGTTCTCGAATGCTATTATCACGAATGCCCCTAATGAATTGAGCCCTTAAGAAAATGTGAGCTGTTGAAATGTTTTCTCTGCATTCACATTTTATGTAAAATTCACAGTCAGCAAGTCGTTTTTGCAAACTTGCAACATAGTCAGGTATGTTTTCACTTTCTGATTGGTAAGTGGAGAAAAAGTAATGCTGCGACACTACAGTATTCTTTTTAGGTGATAGCATTTCGCCAAAGGCTTCAACTAGCTGTTCATATTCCAAGTCTTTGATTTTCTTTGTAGGTCCTTTGAATGCAACTAAGTTGTTGTAATGGATAGAACCGATTGATGCACATAGAATTTGAGCTTTTTTAGTTTTGGTTGACACATTCTTCATGCTGAGATAGTTTTCAAATCGTTCAATATAGGCTGAAAATCTTTCTTTTTCTGAGTTGTAACTTTCAAATTGAGCAGTTGGATCTGGTGTGTTATCTTTCATTTTTTTGTTCTAGTTTCTCAAACAACAGAAATAGAAGATCCATTTGTTGTTTCTAGCCTTCTATGAATTTGTCAAATTGTTCTGAGTTCATTTTGTTGTTGTAACTTGAATGTTCCTAAGCCTGAGATGTAGTTATTAACATGTTATTTGAAGAAAAGGTAATTGAAAAAAATGTAACTGGTCATTAATGTATGAATAAACAAATTTATACTTTTACCTCGTCGCCAAAACTGTTGTAACTCTTTATAACATAATAAAAGATAAATCAGATAAAAAAGTGTATTATTCCATTAACATAGAATAGAAACTAAACATAAACAATAGTAATCAAAAAGAATAAAGATCATATGATCAGCTGGTAATTCAAATGCAGTCTATTAGAAATTATAACAGTGGCATATTTGGATGACGTACTGGTGGGTGGATCTTCACAAGAGTAAGCGTTGTCACGCTTGGAGAGTGTTCTTCAACGTCTTCAAAGTTA